GTGCTCTTTTTTCCTGCCTTTCAGAAATGGCCTTTTTATAGAACTTTCTAATTCAGGATTTCAGATTATTTTAATCTTAATCATGTTATCATACTGTGATGTAAATGCTCTGCTTCTACAGATGTGAAAATTGATGCACAGAGATATGAAATAATTTGTCAGAGGTATGCAGCCAGTATGCAAGTCATGTATAAGTAGAACTCAACATTCCTTCATTAGTTTATCTCTTCACTCTTCTAAATGAAGGGGTTTTTTCCTATTTATTTTTGTCTTTATCACTACTGATTATTGCTGCTCAGGGGTACTATCTGCTTTCTGTCTATACTGAAATTAGTTCTTTTCTCCATATTGCAAATCTGTAGGCCAGATTAATTCAAGACCTTACAGTAATCTGTTTGCTTTCACAAACTGGAATGAAAAGATAACTTTATTTTAAATTATTTTACTAGGCCTTTATTAGAAAAACTTAACCAATGCTCTCACTGGTTTATACATTGTTTTGACTGTAGTTTGAGGTGAGTTTGAGACCTTGAAGCTAGTATTTAAATAAGCTGCTTTATACGTATGCTTCTGGACTGTTGGGGGTTTTTTTGATCCAAAGAAATAATGAACTAAATTTTGTGAGCAGTCAGAAAGATAGTGAAATACTCATACCCCATGTTTTATTTGCCTTTCCTAGTTCTCACCAGCTCTGTCACTTTAGCCTACCTTCAGTTAAGCTGCCTCCCCTCAAGAAAGCCCTTAGCTAATAACAGACTTGATTGTGCACTTCTGGTGTTCTTAAGTATCTCTTTACCTTTCGGCAGGAACTAAAATGTTGAATCATGTCTTAAACATCTGTGAAAAAGATGGCACTTTTGACAACATCTATCTGTAAGTAAATGAGTTACGCTCATGCATTTTTGGAGAGATGATGGAGGCGTATATGGGAGCAAAGGGAGGGAGACTGAAGAGCATTTTTAGTGTATTTCAGTAGGGTCATGGAACATCTTGGAAGTACTAGCAAGAAAGCTAGGGGTCATATTCTGGGCTCGTTCTGTGATGCTGAGAAAACCAAAAGCTTGCTTGCTTTAGAAGAGCTTCTGTAAATTTGCTGAATTTGAAAGTAGTTTAGTTACAAAATTATGTTCTATAGCAGAATTACACTGTATGACTAAAAATATTTGTGAAACAATTTTTTTTACCAGTGTCATCTTCAGAATGGAAAACACTGCAAGTCTTGCATGCAGTTTTGATGCATTTGCTGTCTTTTACAACAGTACTGTATGGGTTAGAACATCAGATCAAGAGGTGCTTGCAAGCACTCTAGGTTCACGTTCAGTAGCAAGGCCCAACTGCTTATTCCCATTCTTGCAGTCTGCCAGGTCAGCTATTTGTGCAGCGATACAGTAAACTAGGTCAATGATAGGACCCAGCTGGGGAAGCTGTTTTCGGTTTTATTTCTGGGTGTTTTGGGTTTAGGGGGATGGTGTTGAGTTTTTGTGTGTGGTGTTTAGGGGTTTTTTGTTTTGTTTGTTTGGGGTTTTGTTTGTGTTTTGGTTTTTGTTTTGTTTGGTTTTTTTAATCAACTGTATGTCTATATAAGCATGCAGACATAAGAACAAGCACTGGGGTAGAGGACAGGGCTGCTTAAAAGAGCACCGCCATCCTAATAGATCCATATGGAAATAGAGCCTGAAATCCATAGATGCCAAAGCTTTGCTTCCCCTTCGCTGCTGGCTGCACACTTCTGCTTCTTCTTGTGCATTGGTGTCTGTGCGATTAACGAGTGAGCTGATGCAGTTTTTGGCCAGATTGTTTCTCTGCACCAGCTTCTTCCTTGTCCATCACTGCCTGCTTACACCAGTACAAGCACAGTGCACTGGTAGGGAGAATCCCACAGCAGGTACAGCTTGGGTGGACTTATGCTGCCACAGAACTGGACCCTGAATTCTTGCCAGGACCGCTGAAGATGCTTAGTGGGGAGTGTTTCATACACTGGTATCGCTATAAATGGAAGGACTTTCTCCTCAAGCTTAGTCCACCTCTGCCATGAGGTGCAAAGTCTTCCAAGTCCTCTACTGTTCTAGCTTCATGCCATCTTTGTACGAGGAACAGGTGTTTTAAAGAGGAGTCTGAGTAAAGCTGCTCGTGGCTTGTATTCCTGCTCTCCTGCGTCAAAAGAAGCGGTAACAAAATCTGAGATGCCTGCTGGTTGGCACAGGCTTTCCTTTTTGCTTTTGCACGTCACTGTGTGCACAGTGAAGGAACAGTTCCTCCATAATCCTTCTTTCCACTTCCCAGAGAATTCTGGGATGACAATAAATAGCCCCCAAAGTTGGGCCTAACAAAGTTCTTCTAGTGGCCCATTGATTTTATTACTGTGTCTGTTGCTTGTGCATCTTCTGTCTGAACATACTATGCAGCTTTGGTATCAGTGGCTAAAGTTGTAATTAGGAAGTTTCCTTTTAGCTATTTGATGTTTATGGGGCTTAACACAAACATCTTTTGTTGTGTTCTGCTGTTGCTTCCAGAGTTGCTTTGGTTCTATAGTTATGCAGCATGTTGTCATGACAAAGTGATTCATGAGCTTGTGCAGTGTCCACTGAATTTTGGGAGCGTTTAATGAATGCCTTTTGCTGAGCCAAACTTTTTTTTTTAATGGAAATTGTGCAAATAAATATCCTAGTTGCTTAGAATGAAGAAATGATGTCTGTTTGGTTTGGAGGCTTTGAAACTCTTGGAATATGGTAGCAAGATCTGTAAAACTCTGGGGGAGACAGATAAAAGGAGAAAGGACTTTGTCAGTCCATAGGGCTGCTTTGTGCTGCCATAGCTTTTTGTGAAGAGAGAGGTGTAGTTACTAGTGAGCAAGGAGTTAAAATCTTATCAGACACCATTGCCAGTTTTGTGTTGCAGTGTGTAAGGATCGTCACTCAGACAACTGTTTTGGTCATCTGAGAAGAGTCACTACAGGAAGTTTAAAATTGGCTCTACAGTGAAACTTTGTTATGTATTTCCACAAAGTAACTGTCACTTCCAGATTAAGAAAAATTTAAATTACCGAGCTAGTAATGCTTCAGAGTCTCTCTGCTATTTGTGTCTCTTTTTCTGAGGGGAAACTTTTGCCACTTCTCAGAATGATTGCCACAGGCTGTCCAGGAGCTGTGTGTTAGCTCAGGATTGTTTGGGAAGACCAAAATTTCCAGTCCTGAACTTACACCATCATTCCTGTCTCTAGATATCTCCTTTTCTTATCTTGTCTTTGACCGTTCTGAGCGTGGAGGCAGAATACTGTACCACAGAAAGTTCTGATACCTGTCTCTCTATCCTCCTTTCTGTCCCAGGCATGTCCAGATCAGCAATGAGTCCGCAATTGACTTCTACAGAAAGTTTGGCTTTGAGATCATTGAGACGAAGAAAAACTACTACAAGAGGATAGAGCCCGCAGATGCTCATGTGCTGCAGAAAAACCTCAAAGCCCCTTGTCTTGGCCAGAACGCAGATGTGCAAAAGACCGACAACTGAACAAAACCCCAACGAACACTTTCTTGCACTTGCTTGTCGCCAAATAAGGAAAGAGAGGCCTCTTCATTTTTTTCTTTTGCGTTTTTTGGTTTTGTTTTTTTTTTTTTTACTCCACACCTTTACCCTCTTAATTTTTTTTTCTTGACCTCTCTCCAACAAAATGTAATGCTTCTTCCAAGGATTGTCCAATCATGTTTGGGGTTGGTTGGGTTCTTTTTGAGCTCTCCTTTTTTGTTGTTGTTGGTGGGGTTTTTTTTTGTTTTGGGTTTTTTGGGTTTGGTTTTTTTGGGGGGGTGGGAAAAGCTGTGCAGATCTCTTAAGTTTGAGGTGTGGAGGGCTTGAGCAGGTTATCCTGATGACAAGTTTCCTTCAGAATTATCTCTTTCAGTAAGCAGAATGTAAATCCAATGGGGGGAAAAAAGGAAAAGCAATATCTCGTCCTTTGACTCCTACATTATTGTGGTTTTTTTATAACCTACAGGGTACTTTACTTCACATCTTTGAATGTTACTTCAGTACTTCCCACTCTTCCTCTTAATTCCCCCCCACCTCAGAAAATATGTTTAGTTCTTCCCAGTATTTTTGAGTATGACTTATTTCCTCCATCTTTTGCTGAGAAGGGCAAGCTACTTTACCATACCTTTTCACTCTGCCTGGGCTGATCTTTTTTGAATGCTTTTTTTAAATACTCCTCACCCAAGCTGGTGCTACAATTCTTAACTGACTGAGAGGAGGGTTTAGAGTGGTCTTTGTTTTTTCTTATTTTCATTTACCCAACTCCCAGCAGACTTCTGCTAGAGTAAGAGCTAGATCTGGTGTTGGCAAGAGTAACCTTGTAAAAATACGAATCCTGAAACAAGACCCTTGCTTTAAAAATGGGTAAAATGCTGTAGGGCTCATTGAGAGTTAGTTCTATCTGTGTTGTTGGGATAGGAAAAGTGACTGTGACCACTTTACCAGCTTTGATACAATAAGGCAAGCACCCCTCTCCAGATAAATTTGTTACAGCTACTAAATCTGTGGTGACAAATCTGAGATGAGGCAAGGGTTGAGGAAACCAGGCAGCAAGGCTGAGAAGGCAAACATGAATCTGACCCTAATCACATAGCTTTGCAGGGGTCTCCTGGATTTGCTTGGGATTGGCTTGGCTTGCTGTGTTTATGTGCTCCTTTGGGAGGAGGTGTTTTAGAACTGCACAGTTTGCTCCTTTGAAGGTTCTTTTCCTCTTTCCCTGTTCAGTGGTAATAATGCAGTTCTCTCGTGAGAGGGTTTTCATGGAGCACTGGAGAAAACAGCATATATTAGAGCATTTTATGGGTTTGGAAAATGGGCTGACTGGCTTCTTCCTAGTACTGTAACCTCAAAGCTACAGTAAACTCTAGTAAGCTCTGCTTTGCATCTTTCATGCTGTGTTTGCGTGAATATCAGTGCTCCTTTCTATGCACTGTTGCCAGCAATTTTATGTATGCCAATACAAATACCAACTTGAGCTTGGAGTCTTCTCCAAGCACCTGGGAAAGTGCACTGAGCTGAGACAACACCAACCTGCCCCATCCCCCAAGTAGATATTGAACTGCATTCCTTTCCTGTTTGTTTTTTAAAGTTTAAATCTGCATCTTGAATTCATCCACTTTGAAAGCCTCCAACCTCTAGTGCACATTGCAGCATACATCTGGTTAATAGGTGCTGTCCAGTCATTCAAGGGCAACTTGAGAACCAAGATTTTGAAGACGGGAGTCGTGAGGCAAGGGACAGCGTGCCTCATTGCACGTTATGCGGTCTTTGATACCCGAGTGGTGACTATACAAGCTGCTCCAGAATTACTCCTCCTTTCCCAGAGGTGTGTAGTGTTTGTTGGAGTGCATCTTGACAGACCTATGCCAGAAAATGGCTACTCTTATTTGCTGAGTTTGCACTAACTGAGCCTTGGGGATGGGCAGATGGCTAACAACAAAAGCCCCTCTGCATGGCCTAAGCACCTCTGTTTGCAACACTTGGTGGCAGATTCTGGCTAGAAAGACGCAAACGGTTTCCTTGGCCAGAGGCAGCCTAGTTTTGACAAAACCTTATTTTTAGTACTGCTAGGACCTGCTTGCACTGGTTATGTTGGCAGTTCCAGCATCTCTGTAGAAGGGGATGTATTGAAGCACAATTAGCTTGTCGTATGCCAACATAGTTTCCCTGGCCATCTGTAGACCAAACCAAGAGAAGTATGTGGAGGGAGAGAGATAGCATTGTATGTGAGGATGTTTGTGCAGCACAGCTGTAACTCAGACCATAGCTGCCTCTGGTGCCAAGCAAAGTGCTCTTCATTCTTCTAGAACTAAGTGGTAAGTGTTTGGGTTGGGTAGATGGGTGTGGGGATATGAACTCTTAGGATTTGCTGTTGTCGTAGGCTTCCACAAATCGGTGTGTTTCACAGACAGTTTTCCTTCAGGTTTAAAAGTACGAGTCTGATGTCTGAACTTACTTGGATTAACCTTTGTTTCTGTCTCTTTTTGCTTTGGGCTGCCATCATTCTATGAATGTATCCCTGAAAACAATTCTTAAAGCTCCTATTCCGCAGCAAACCTGCCTCATTGTAACTTCTGATAAAACGTTTTGTAGGAGGTGGAAGAGAGAGTAACCACAAATCTAAGACTCCTTTTCCCAGGCTATATAATCCTGGAAAACGGTTGTTGAATCTTGAATACAAGGTTTAATCTAAATCTCGAGGAGAGCTGTGTTCCCTGTACATGGATAAGGGCGAGTGAAGGTCAGTAGTTCTGGATGACAGTTGTATTTTATTAGTATATCAGCCGTGTTGAGTGTGGGAGAAGAATGCTGTATCTTAGTGCTGTTACCCAGAGACACTGAAATTGTGTGAAGTATGGACTTCCTGCAGAGGACTTCACTTACTTTGTTGCTGCAGCAGGACCTCCTTTTAGCTTGAAAATAGCAGCTTACAAGCAACTAAATTTTTAAAAATTGGGAGTTTCAGTGGGGAAAAAAAATACCAGCACTTCCTGTTCTGGATGAAGATCTAGCAAGAAAAATGTACGCAACTAACAGTTTTAGAGTGTAAATTGTGTATATATGAGTTATTTCTGAATCTCTCCAACTGGTTTTGTCATACATCAGTTGAAGTATGAAGATATTATCAACAAAAAGACTCCTACTAGAGGAAACCATGGTACAGGGGAAAAAGAATCATCCAGGAGAGATATCCCTCATTTTTGGGAGGGGGAAGGGAGAGATTTTATTTTGTGTATACAGAAACCGGCTGAGTTTACATGATGCAGCTAATGGTTAAACCTGCCAACTAAATATGACATACTGTTACAATTGAAACAAACTTATGTGATATTTTGTTAAATCTTGATGGTGCCCTGTGTCTAGTAAAAATTTGATCCCCCAAATTGTTTTATTCTCCCCAATGTTGTAATCCAGGGTCAGCTGCTATGCACAAAGTCTGTGTTTTGTAAGTGTTTGCTGACTTGGATGTTTCTTTTGAATCTGCAACAACTGCTTCCTGATTAATTTGGCTAAGACCACCCCTGGTCTCTTGAGTTAAGATTTAGTCAAAGGTATGCTGTATGTAATTTACAGATGCATTCTCAATGTTACAAGTTAAGTTGCAGGGGGAGCAAATTCTTTACAATAAGACGGTCCATTTTTAATCTCTATCATTGCCCTTGTTGTACATCAGGAGCATGTTTTTGTTTTTTCTTGAACTCTTTAGAAATATCGTTCAGAATAAACGTGCACTATTTGAGTTATGTCATTTACGACTTGTCGTGCATTTTTTTGCTGTTCAGCTGTTTCCCTCTGAAAACAGATACAGAATATTCCTCAGATGTTTCTTAAACTGTTGGAAAATTTCTAACACAAAGTGTGAGTTGTGCTGCTATGATGAATGCCATGGGTGTCTGAAAACTGAGGAGAGTGGGGTCTGTTTGTTTGTTTTCCCTGAAGTTACAAGCCTTTTCTCAGAAATCCTGTCTTGTGGGGTGGTGGGGAGAAGAGGAAGAAGAACTGCCCTGGAATATTTTTTGCGTTGACTAGTGAGCAGTCTTGAAATAAACAGACCAGGCATCAAGAACTGTGTGTTTTGGGCTTTATAGGTTAAATATTTTTAAGGATTCAAATTAATTGCTAGCTATTGCAAATCTTGATGACAACAACAATCTTTGAAAAACTATGGTCTGTACCTGTAAAAGTAACTGGTCTTAAGATGCAGCAAGTACTCTTCCATACTGACTTTTCTCAGAAAGGTATATAAGTAAAACTCATCTGTCTCAACTATTCCAGTCCCTTCTGTTAAAGCCATTTTTGTCTGTAGTTTCTGTTCCTCTCCTGCTTTGAAGTGCCATTTATGAAGTGATAAAGTTGTACTGTGGTACAGTTTCTGGAGGAAAAAGAAATACTACCCCAAGTATTCTATAGCATATTCTGTAGTCTGTTCATATAAATATTCTATGTGCTTATTTAAGTTCCTCTAGAAACTGCTATATCAGTAGGTGGAGTCGCTGCATTCATTAGGAGAGCACGCAAAAGCAAAGCTCAGGCTCTGACACTTGACTTTGGTCTTGAGCTGCTGGTACCAGCTGTCTTCCCTGACCTCTGCTGGAGGGCCTGGAAGGCACAGCTGGGCATGAACTGCTAACAGGAGTGCAACCTTCACCACTCTGGCCTCACCAGCAGCTGCAGAAGCTGTAAAACTTTAGCTGTACTCAAACTACTGCAAATGTTCTCCAAACTGCTCAGCTTTTAGCAATCTCCATCATGTTTCTTCTGCACCTTCATGCCAGTCACCTCTCTCACAGCCTGTACAGTTTTAGACAATTCAGTTACTCTTTTACAGAGAAACTAGCTGATACCCCTGATAGTTTGTGTTGCCCTTTCCCAAAGTTTTGCTGGTTCTACAAGCAGGTCCATTCCCCTCACTCTATTCAAAACTTGCGTATTTACAGGGCCCTTGTAATAACTTTTGGTGTGCTATTATCTCTTAGTTGTAACAGTTTGCTTTTTTTTTTTGTTACTAAGATAATATATTTAAAGAACAGTTACAATGCCAGGATCTAATAAGCGAGTGTGGT